CCTGCAGCACTTCAGCGTGCGGAACCTGCGCGCATTCTCTGCGGAGCCGCTGCTCCTGTTCCCCACGCACTACACGGGCGAGCCAGGCTACGTCAGCGACACCGAGACCTCCACCATCTGGGACGATGAAGGAATCAGCACCGACTGGGACCGCCAGTATGCCCAGCGGAAGCACCGGCCCCACCCGCCAGCCCACGGCACCATGGACAGGGAGAACGTCCCACCGGGGTCTGCCACCAACAAGGATGAACTCTGACCTTTCACCCGGAAGGACCCGCTGACAATGACATGCACAGAGATGCCAAAGGCTATCTGATCCAAATATACTGCACTGCCCCACAAAGGCAAAACACAGTAACTGCATCTTTGATCAAAGCTTAGTTATGACCAGAATCAAGGTTCTGTTTTGTCTTGTGACGAATACAATTTCTATGCTTGGATGTACAGAAAACAGCATCATTCACCTACTTACTACACTTAGGGGTGGACAATCAGAAACTTGTGAAGCCCTGTTCCTGCTTCAGTTTCAGCGTAGTTATTGTGCTTCTCCTTTGAAGGGCAGTGAGCTTGGTACTGTACAGAAGCTGCTGTATTCATACACACTAGGGGTGTAATGGTACGCAGAATTCACGTTTCGGTTTGTATGCATAAATCCATAAACCTCAGTGTGTATAGTGGACTTTACACCCCCCCCCCATGCCCCCCCAAATCCAGAAATGTTCTGTGGTCCATGCATTCATTAATAAAAAATTGATGTAAAATACATGTCGTCACGCAGCTTTTACTTGGCTCTTACCCTCTTTTACATCTTTATTGTGCAATATGTGACACTGTCCACTTTATCCCCCCATGTTCACCACCGGAGAGGGCACACCAGTGGTTGTTAAGTAAAGTAAGTTAAGTTAACATCGGTAACTTAGAGTAACAGGTGAGGGTAATTAACAAACACTACAGATTCAAACAGTGGAAGATACAAGGAGGACAATACTGAGCGCAGGTAGGGAACACCATGGACTAAAACTAGAAAATATTGGAATGCAAAACTAATCAAAAAATGTGTGGCAGTGCTGCGGACAGCCTCTGGCCAGCCTTGTACCCACAAGGGTAGAGATGCACAGTTCTTAGCACTGCACTCAGCCCATTTAGTCATGGGCAGCATGATAGATACTAAATGCCGAAAATAACAGGATGGCCAGCGGCACCTGCTGGCCAAAAGGGGAAATGACCGACATTAAATGACCGACATTAAAGGTACTGATCCTGATATCCTGATACACGTCAAGCATGTGCCCAAATGCACAAAACCAGAGGTTCCATAAAAGTCATAAAGGAGTCCAGAAATATGCAGAGTTACCAAACTGCCTGTTAGTGTGTGTGTGTGTGTGTCTGTGTGTCTGTCTGTACCCTGCGATAGGCCCTGCATAGGACAAGCAGGTACAGAAGATGGATGGATGTATCTTCTGGAAAAAGTCCCTTAAATGCCACAGGAAGACTAACTTGCCGTGTCTGTTACCGCTTTGTTCCGGTAATGCATACACCTGAATGACGTCATCTCAAATAATGTAGCATGTTGTATGATTTTTCCAGCAACATATCCAAGTGCAGTATAACAATCTTTCTCTTATCAATGACTCTCTCCAGTGCTGGTGTTATTTACTGGAACACCGAAATACTCCCAAACTGCCGATTATGACTAACTGTAAGCAGCACTAGGCTGTAACCAACTCACAGCCAGAATTAACATGGTGTTTTCTGCATTGAACCTCTGAAAATTGAAATTGTACTTGCGAATTTAGGTTCTATCAATGTCAATAACTGTATTCATTCGTTTCATTGTATCTTCCAAACCGAAAATGATGTAACCAAATGGCACAAGACAAATACGTGTATCGTTACAGCCAGGGATGCCACTAGAGATTTTGGGCCCCATGAAAGGATGTCAGAGTGGGTCCCCAAATCAGACCAATCCAGTGCATCGATACATAGTATAAATACACACACACAGGTTTGTAATTATATCTTTCATTTCCATGGGGAAAACTCTAATCCCAACATGACGACCTTATCCCCTACCCAGCCCTAACCTTAACTATGAATAACAAACGAAATATGAGACTTTTGGCATTTTGGTCCCCATAATGTAATATAAACATAATCCACACACACAGTTACTTTACCATCCTGTGCTGTTTTCTAAAGAGTCAGTAGGGGGCAGTATTACAGCCAGAAAAGATCTATTCTATTTAAGATTATTATGATAATGATAATACTGTGCAAAAACGTTGACAACTGTACAGATGTCTTTGTGGGCAGCCAGTAAAACAATCTTTAAAAATCTTGCCTGCCTTACAGCTATGTTTCTGTAAATTTCCTTAGTGTGTTTGACAGAGTAAGAGTAGTCATCTTGTGCGTTTATGATACAGCGTTGAAGCTGCAAATAGCAGCACCACCTCACTGAACATGACTGAGAGTTACGGCGAAATGATGACGAGGGCATCCCCTAAGAAAGAGACTTAGCGTGGATCTGTGTCAGAATCTCCCATGTCGGAATCCGGAATCCCCGGATAATGGACAGGCATGTGATTTGGGGATCGGATTGTTCTGGGACAAGGTGTCCTTTTAAGATATTATGGGAGGTGCTCTAAAAAAGTGCCAAATCTAAACACAAAACTAACAAAAACATGATACTTGATAGAGTTTGATTGTATGACAAAAGAGTTCAAAATAGGTCCAGGACAATGCCTGGACTGGATTTAGTCCAGGGATTGTGCCCCTCCCTCGCATTCAGGAAGTGTCAATTATGGAGGAGGGCCAGCTGATCACAGAACACAAGCCAAACAAATCTGCTACCGGAACGTTCTCTGCGGCGTCTGACGCACCAGCGCTGAGTGGGCTGCCTGTCCGGATCCGTGCCGCGCGTAGGAGTGCGCGCCGTTAATATTAGTTCAGTCAGCGCGTTACGCCCCCTGCAACTGCGTCGTGCTGGTGCTTGACGTCAGTGATGGGTAACCTGAGTGTAAACGGGACCCCAGCGCAGTGACATTACACTGCATTTAGCACTGCATCATTTCACATGCAGTATGAATCATCTGCCAAATAAAACTGCAGGTTTTCCCCGCTCCTCATTACATCAGTCAAATTTGCTTGTATTTTGAATGGTTTGTATAATAAATAAATTTGTCACATGTACTGTACGTGAACATTTCCACATTTTTGCTCCCTGCCATATCCCAATTGGGGCAAAAATATGGACTGTCTGGCAGGGAGCTGGGAGGGAGCAAAAATGTGGATCATCTGTGAATCCCATAGGACTGGGTTGGGAAACACTGCTCTTGGTTTTAAAGTAGGGTTCCCCAATTCTGGTCCTGGAGGGCGAGAATCTAACAGTTTGCAGATTTCTTTGCTCAACACACACCTTGATCAGCTAATTACTAGGTTTACTATATGTGTTTGAACAGGTAAATCTATAAACTGTGTCACATTCTGTTCTGCAAGGGACTGGCATCCTGTTCAGGGAATTCTCTGCCTTGTGTCCTGTGTTTCCTGGGAGAAGTTCACTATAATCTGGTAATGCAACGTTCCTCAACCCAGTCCTAAGGGACCCTCAGACAGTCCACAGCTCCTAACGCACCTGTACCTCGTATTGAATGTCCTGGTCTGGTTTAGGTGTGCTGGAAGTTGGGAGGGAGCAAAAATGTGTACAGTCTGGATTCCTGAGGACTGGGTTGGGAAACACTGCTGCAGTGAATAAGTGATTATGGAAGATGGTCATAACATAACTATAAAATTTAATGGAAAATGCTGCTAAATTCTTCAGTTTCTTCCAGCTGACAATTGTAGGTCATACATCTATTCATGTTCTGTTTCTTTTCATGAATTTCAGCCCCTGAAGATTTGGCCCTTTTCTCTAGAGTGACTGCATAGCTGTCGGGCCTGCTATACTAACTCCTACCACCGGGAGCAGTAGTGATTGGTTGGGTGGTAAGCAGAGGGGGTTCTTGTTGCTGGGGCTGCCGTTATGGCTTCATGGCATGTCACTAATTAAGACCCAGCATGCAGGTGTCCATTCATCTGTGCATATTGGATAATCAATGTGTGAGTCTTGATGTATGAGTTTTAAAGTCTGAGTTCTGCATTCCCCCAATACACACAGCTGACCCTCATTCAGCATAACCTCTGTTTCACACAGACACCCTTGTTGGCATTCATATACAGTGTTACCCTTGCAGTTCTCTCACACTCATTATGCTCTGACACACATCAACACGTAACTGCTTCCTGCTGATTGTCTACATAAAACATGTGGACTGATGTGTGGCCTGTTTAAAAAGGCTTGGTCTCCTAACATAAAGCAAAAGAAGGTTCAGAAAGTTGTGGCAATATCACCGAAGAACTTGACACGGTCAGGTAAAATGTTTATGGCACTCACACACACTCACACTCACACACACACGCACACACACACACACACACACACACACACACAGACTCAGCATGGATGACTCACAGTGGTCCTTGCTGGCTTCAGCAGCCCGTGACTCTCTGAAGCCCAGTTCCCTCTTGCCTGACTCCAGCTCCGTCCTCTAGGCCACAGCGCTGAGTTGTTGGTTAACAAGCTCCAGTAAGTAACTGAAACCTGCCAAGTTATGCTGGTTTCTCCTGGGGGGGGGGGGTGACCCTCCATTCTGCCAGGTATGACTCACAATGGGGGTAGAAACAGAACTGGGGATGTGTGTGTGTGTGTGTGGTGGGGGGTGTTTAAGGAATAAGCAAGATCCCCACAACAGTCCCCCAGTACCCCAGACATGCGGCCCCCAGGGATGTGGAGGACGGGCTACCACTGGGCAGAAAAGTCGCAAGCTCCGCCTCCGAGGCAGAGAGAGCAAATGAACAAGAGAGGGACGGAGAAGGAGGGGACAAGAGATGAAATCATCTGTGTGGCAGGAACAGGGAGTACAACAGACAACCCCCACCCACACGGAGAGAGAGAGAGAGAGAGAGAGAGAGAGAGAGAGGGAGGAGTGAGTTAAGCAGGGAAGGGGAGTAATCTCAGAGAAGTGTCCAGAAACTGACTTGTGGTGCCAAGGGACTCCAGGGTGAACAGGCAGCAGAACCGGGAGCCACAGAGGGATCGGGCCTGAGCTGGCAGGACTGACACGTCAGCTAGTTCACCGCTAAGAGCAGCGGGAGCAGGGAGGCAGAGCAGGCGGCCAGACCAAGCGACGGAGACCAGCTGAAGTATGGCCCCTAGGGCCGGTCACCTAGGATGGGGCGCACCATGACACCCCCGGCTAGCCGTGCCATGGTGTCGCTGCTGCCCTGGGCCCCGGCTCCACACGGCCTGGAGCTGGACATCGCTCTGCTTGGGGAGGAAGGCGGCGTGGCCCTGCAACGGTACCAACCTCGCTCGCCAGACAGCGGCCCCCGGAACTGGGTCAGTGGATCTGTGCTTCTTTGCTTACCTCCCTGTTTGTGAGTCTCCATCTTCTTTCTGTTTGCTTGCTTATCTGTCGTTCTTCTCCAGCTGTTCATCTTTGATCATTATCTGTTTGATTGCCTGTCTATCTATCCTTGCTTCCTTTCCGCCCGTCCGTGGCTGTATGTTATCTTTAGTGCTTCCATTGGTCTCTCCCTTCTTTCATATTATGTCTGTTTGTTTATTGGTCACCATCTGCCCCCTGGGCATCTCGCCTTGGTGTGCCGTGTCGCTCCCTATCTGCCCGATCTTGCCAGCTTCCTATGTTCGCTCTCTCCCTCTCTTACCTTCTCTCATCCTCTTGATCTCTTTGTTGACGTTGACTTAGTCGCATCGAGTCTTGGCTCTTTCTGTATTTGGGGAAAGAAGCATGTTGTGTTGACTTCTTCACAGGGACCGAGGTCACAGACTTATTAACACAGAGTCACCGGCAACAGGGTCTGGGTCCCTGAGTAACCCTCACAATGATTATTATAAGTGTCTGACTGCCTACCGAGTAGGAGGTTCCAAGCCCTTAAACCTCAGCGCTGACTTTCTCATAGTCCAGCAAGCGCAGATGAGTTACTGGAGATGTGAAAACAAAGCTGAAGTTGTAAGTCTTGGTAGAACGGCCTATGTGGGACTGGCTTCCCTGTCTCATCACAGACCCTATTAGAAGTAAAAATCCAGTCCGAGATTTTGTTTTAACCAACCAGTTGCGCATAAAGAATCACAGTCACACAGTACGCAACTGGTTGGTTGAAACAAAATCTTGGCCTGGATTTATACTTTCCGGACCTGGACTTTCCACCTCTGTTAGGGAAGCTGAAAAATAAATGGTCGAAATCCATTTAGCGACTTGTAGCGTTTTCCACTCACTCAGCAAATGTAATTGCGGGGGACCCTTCAGATAGAAAGTTACAATCCTACTGGGAACTGAGCCCCACCATGGGTGAAATCCTAGAATCACCCCTGGTCTCCATCCATGTATCGCCCCTCAGTATTAAGATGGAGCTGAGTGTGTGTATGATGTGTTGGGAATGGAAGTAATGATGAACAGCGAAGAGCTGTACTAACATTGATAGGCAGATTCATGGGTGGAAGTATGATGTCGTCAAAATAAAACCTGCTGAGTCAGTCGGTGGAGTGATATTTGAACTGGGCCAGGCAATTTAAGTGAGAGTTAATTACAGAAAAGGCTTGACACGGCATTCCTTGATTCTGATCTGGCCCAGCTGTGCTGGAGATCTCCTGCATCAGTGGGGGTACTGATCTGGCTGGGGGTGCACCAGAAGCTGGCTCTGAATTCTGGGAAAGAGCATCTCTTCCTGAAAGACAATCATGGCCCTGTCTGCGTGCGTGGGGCTGTTGTGAGCCATTGTTAATCACTAGGAGAGTGTTTGTGTTTGTGAACAATGACCCAATGGGGCCAGATGCCAGTGTGTGTGTGTGTGTGTGTGTGTGTGTGTGTGTGTGTGTGTGGCTGTAGCATGTACATTGTGTGTCCCACATGTGCTGTCTGACATCCTGCCTGTTGACGAACTGGGGAAAGGGGGAGAGGGAGGGGGCTGCTGAGGTTTTTTTCTTTTTTCCGACTATTGTTCCCCCGACACACTGGTCAGGGCCTGGCCGGCTCACACACACACACACACACACACACACACACACACACTCCGCCATCCACCCTCCATCCACTGTGTGGTGCTTCATCACTCCCCCCTGCTGCGGATAGATGGACACACACTTTCCCCCATGATCAGTATGTCAGGACTAAACCTGACTGCCACTTTCACCCCAGGTCATCTGCTTGGACATGTGCACTTACCAAACCCCTTGGTCTTATCTTACATTATATTCTTATTTTTCATTAATGGCTCTAATATATTTTTACTTTCTATATACCCACCTGGGCCCCAACCCCTCAGCCTCTGGTCTCTCTCTATATACCCACCTGGGCCCCAATATCTCAGTCTTTGCCACTTATTGTCTCATATTGTAACTGAGAAAAGCTTTATTGCTGTTATAAATGTTACATAAGAACTGCAGTCTATTTATTACCTGATAAACATGGTCACATACTCATAAATACAGAGAGTCAGCGATATATCTCTGATTTCTCCTCACTCTCCTTTCTATCTTTCTGTTCGTATGTCTTTTATCCTATCGGGATTACACACGTCACCAGACTAGCACAAGCTAAATGCTCTCACTCTCTCTGCATCTCCCCCCCCTCACATCTTATAAATTGTTTTATGCACAAACGATTTGGCTAATAATCACCGTGTTAACTGCCAGTGCACTTTACCTGCTGCTTGTGGGAGCAAAGTACACGCTGGGGGCTGTAAAAAGGCCAGGGGCCGTTCCACGTCAGTGCAGCTGGGTCTTGATTGTAGACCACCGCCGTTTTGTGCTCAACACGTGTGGGTGCAGATATTTATTCAGTCTTTAGACGTCAAGGATTTATTTATATAGCACATTTAAAAACAGCTCCTGCTGACCAATGTGCTGTATAATTGGACAAAGTCAAACATCTATCACATAGAAAAAAAGAAAAAAAACAATATTTCTCTTGCTGTGTGATGCTTCCATTCTTCCCAGAGCAGAAAATCCAGACTTTTGGGCAGATTTGAGCAAAAAGGTAATCCAACCGTAAATAAAGTGTTTTCCCAATTCCTCACCCTGCCCCCACCCGCAGCCCTCTCATCCCTGATCCCAGTCATGTGTCCTAGCTTAGTGGAGGCTGTGAGACTACACAAGGATAGCTTTTTGGGGCCTGCCGCTCTGGCCAGCTCCACAGAAGGTCTGTCTGTAGCTGTTACACTGTTGCTATGGCAGAAAGAGCTGGCTGGTATCTGAACTGCGTCGGTGTGGCTGTGAGTAACTGAAAATTGCTTTCGGTGATGTCAGGATACCAAGCTGAGGGCATAATGCAGGAAAGTCAATTTATCAATGTCCTGACACTCTGTGTACCATAGTAAAATGTACCAGAAGGATAATGCATTACACATGCGCAAGTTTTTTAGGGGGCACCATGGTAGGGTAGGGTAGTGTTTCTCAACTCAGTCCTCAGGAATCCCCAACCGGTCCACACTTGTGCTCCCTCCAAACTTCCTGCCAGATAGTCCACATTGAGCTTGGAGGGAGCAAAAATGTGGACTGTCTGAGGGTCCCCAAGCAGCAGGCGAACAGCCACGCATCCCCAAAAACTTGTCTCCATAGATGCAAATGTGCATGGTAATCTGACCTGGGAACTGGCCATAGGACTGGTGGGCGTCGAATTCCCTTCAGCCCCTGCCCATCTCCCTCCCATTAGTAACATCAGCCAGCAAATTCTTAAACTGTCCGATCACCCTCATCTATTATTAGGCAATTATATCCTCACAGATGTGCCAATTACGCTACTATTGGCAAACAGAATGCCTTTGAGCATAGAGAAGTTTAATCTGTTAGTCGATTTGCATGTCTTTTCATACAACCTCTTAAGGTTGAATATATAGACAAATCTTCAAAATTGATATATTCATTTACACAGCATTTTTTCAGCGTTATGGATGTGAGATCAAACGTAGTTTGCATGGAATTGCCCTACTGGTGCTAAATTAGTGTGACTAGTGAATTTGACCTAAATTAGAAATCAAGTATTATTGACAGTTTAATATTAAGCGTTTTTTTTCAATCCACACAAAAGCAACGTTTTCAAAACAGTCAGGAAAACGTGTTACAGTGTAATGTGAAATACGGCATTGTCTACAGTATTTCTATTAATTTATTTAGTCACTCATAGGATCAAAGAACTACAGAAATATTATATAGAGTAGCTCGAGTTTCCTCAAATCAGACAAATTAAATGATTCATTTTTCATTCAACAGTTCAAGATTAAATTTAAAGACAGAAACATGGTCACTGCAGTGGATTGTTACCGAGAATGTACACAAGGACTTAATTTAAAGTGAATGAGCATTCAAATATATTTCCACAGAATACACGACTTTTAATTAATTGTTACAAAAAAAATCAGTATACAGCGATTCTCATTTGTCGAAAGAGTTTTCTTTTCTTTCCATAAAAAGCGATTGAACTGAAACTTGGAAGTGCTACCGCACGGAGTTTGGTTATTGAGTAAGCGGACAAGAGGCGAGGAGAGAGTGAGAAAGAATCCCAGAAGAAAGAGGATGTTTGAGAGGAGTGGGATGGAGGAGACGGAGGATCTCACAGAGGAGGAGGGTGTTTAATGGTACATGCAATCGGTGCAGGCTCCCAAACTTGAATTCACATGCGGCTGCCGGGTCACGAGAGACGCGCTCAGCATGGAAAGCTAAAATGGTAATAATAATGACGATAAAACTCCCCAGCGGATTTCTGAATTATCTGACTGCTGATCCTGTAGTTTGTAGTTCAGAGACAGGATGACACGTAGGGGGAGACTTTGACGTGAAATGGATAAAGGACGAGATAACAGAAGGGAGAGTATTTTTAAAATGTGATTTTGGTAAATATGCGTTATCTGCACAGTCAGTTATCCGTACTCAAGTTTCTATATATTGTGAAGAATTTTAAAGGGGGACACCTTATCTGTTCATGCTGAGTCGCATTTTTGTCTGTATGGTACCAAAGTTGAAGTTATGCTGGAATTCATGCTGTCATTTCAGGTTATGCAATGGCATTTGTTCCCCCAACTCGTGTTTCATGCGCAGCGGAGTTTTGGTGGCGGTATTTTTAGCATTATGGGCGAGTGGGCACGGTGAGGCTGGCTGTGTGAGTCAGGGGACTCGGGGGTGTTCTTGATTCTTGGCGGAGCGGCTCCGTGGGAAAGTAGCACCCAACAGCACGCCTGGGGACGTCAAGCCGGGCATGAATTACACTTGCGATGCGCGCCCTATATAATATCATATATTCCATTTTGTATTGCAGTTAGGATGGACGGCATCCAAGCCAAGGCATAAGTTGTTCATATTTGTCTATGAAAGAAGTTTTCTTTTCAGCAGCAGAGTTTGGATCTGTGTTCAGTCTTGCTGTTGGTATGAAATGTTTTCCTTTTAAACTGTAACTACTCAGTTCTGCATGAAAAACTCCATGTTCCAAACATTCTAATGCCTTCATCTATATATTGTCAATGATACATCCCGTCTCCCTTTAGTATTTCTACAATTAATGGAATATACGGGTAAAGGAATTTAGAGTCTAAGTTGTATGTGTCACTTGCTTTTAAATTAAATATCTATCTATCTCTTGGAGGCTGTAGTTCTGCAGTTACACAGAGGACACCCGAACCCAGCAGTGACGCCCTGTCCACTGGCCCCCCCTGTCCTTCCCACCAAACACATTCGTAGTTAAGGCTGCTCCAGATATGTTCTGCCATTATTGTTATTGGAAAGCTGTGTGATGTCATTGTGGGAGGTGCCCCGCTGTCGTAACGCCATGCGTTTCCTCCACAGAGCTCCGTGCAGGACTGGGGTGAGGAGGTGGAGGAGGGGGCCATTTACAGCGTGACTTTGAAGAGGGTCCAGATCCAGCAGGCGGCCAACAAGGGAGCGAGGTGGCTGGGGGTGAGGCGAGAGCACGGACGTACACACATTAGCGTGTTTGCGCATGAGCTGGTTCCCGTTTGCTGCTGCACTATGATGTCAGCCCTTTGTGATGAGAGGCAAATGATGTCACTTCCTGTTGCACCATGCCAGCAGCATCAAAGCCTTGCATGCATACACATACACGCTCCTATTTTCATATACAATTTTCACCATCAAAGTGTCTTATGGGTAAGGCAGGGTATGATGTCACATGACTTTTCTCCAGGTCCTCCAGTTTCCTCCCACTAAACACAAAAACATGCAATTGGGCATCATTGAGTGTGTGTGTGTGTATGTGCCCTTTTATGGCTGGCTGGTGCTGTGTGAGACAGTTTTGGAGAATGTAATGGAGTAACGGTGTAGTAGTAATGTAGTAATGGTGTAGTAAGTAATATTATGTGAAGTAATGGTATAGTATGTCTGATGTATAGTATACATAGAATAACAGCCCCTGTTGCTGCTTCCCCCTGTCCTGGTCGGGAAGGCGGAGGGGGACAGGTTGCCCCCTGGTCATACGGTCAGCCAGCTGGAGACGTGTAAGATCCGCAGCATCCGGGCTGGAACCCTGGAGCGGCTGGTGGAGACGCTGCTCACGGCATTCGGCGACAACGACCTCACCTACACCAGCATCTTCCTGTCTACCTACCGCGCCTTTGCCACCACGGGGGACGTGCTACGACTGCTGGTCCAGAAGTAGGTGGCCTGCCAGGAAGGCTGGTAGCTCCAGCTGAATGCTCCATTGCTCGGGGTTTTACTCGTGTTTTACACATGCTTGTATTTGGAGCTGCATTACATAAGTATTGTTCTTTTCACTCCCTTACTCAGGTTTGAGAGCATGGAAGACGATGATGGTGATAATGACTGCAGGGAGGTAGTACGGAAGTAAGACCATCGATTCCACATTCAACCATGTTTTTTTTCTGTTTATGGGTTGCTCTCGTTCTCCGGAATCCTCTTGCTGATCTTCACACCTTCATGTTTTATACTTTCATTTCATTTTGTCCATTTCGACCTTCTCCGCCGTAGCACTTGAAAGTGCTTGAAAGGAGAAAGTGTCTTGGAGCATGTTGGGGGTCTTTAGGTATCTTGAAAGTCTTGGACTCACCATCACATTTCTCCTGCTTGTTGCCATCAGCGCCTTGGCCTCCACCCTGCGCGCCTGGCTGGATCAGTGTCCGGAGGACTTCCAAGAGCCACCGGCTCACCCTAGCCTGCGACAACTGCTTGCCTTCCTGCAGAGGGCGCTACCGGGGTCTGAACCATTGCGCCGGGCCCAGGGTCTGCTGGAACAGCTGGAGGCTGAAAGGGACCAGGAACCTGACTGTGAAAGTCAGTATCTGGGAAGTTTGCCACCATCCCAGTCCGTTTCATAAACTCCGCTCACATTTAACCATGTGTCTTCTGCAGGTGGTTTCCTTGGAAACAGCCCAGAGGTGGATGAGACGGTGGAGATGGAGGACTTCCTGACGTTCGGTGCTCACCTGGTGGCTGAGCAGCTGACTTACATGGACGCGGTAAGAGTGGGCGTGATGTGGATGGGAGACACTGTGATATGGGGGGTGAGGGCTGTATGGTCATGGTCGCCATTGATCCCCCCTCAGGAACTGTTCAAGAAGGTGGTTCCTCACCACTGCCTGGGCTCCGTCTGGTCCAGGCGTGATAAGCAGCAGGGCAAGCACAGGGTGGCCTCCATCCGTGCCACCATCACACAGTTCAATGCCGTGGCCTCCTGCGTGGTCAGCACTGTGCTGTGCCAGCGGCAGCTCCGCCCCCAGCAGCGGGCACGCATCGTCCAGCGCTGGATTGACATAGCCCAGGTGACACTCCCTGTGTTCCGGCCACACCCACCCAGCTCTACATACCGTCATGATTTACCTCTGAGATCACTGAGAAGAAGCCTGCTATTTGCTATGGTGCTCGGGGTGGGGGGTGGCCATGTATAACCGACTCTCTGCCCCCCAGGAGTGCCGCATCCGCAAGAATTTCTCCTCTCTGCATGCCATTGTCTCCGCCCTGCAGTGCAATCCCCTGTACCGCCTGAAGAGGGTGTGGTCCTGTGTGCCCAAGTGAGTCTCCAAGTGAGGTCATATGTTTGGCTTAGTTTGACTTTTGTCAGCCATTCTGATGATGACCGACTCCTCTCCGTGTGACCTCCCCCCCCCATCACCAGAGACAGCACGCAGATCTTTGAGGAGCTGTCCGACATCTTCTCAGACCACGACAACTACCTGACCAGCCGAGAGCTCTTAATGCGGGTGAGACACTTCTGCTCCCTCGTGTGTGCCGTGTACTAGTGATGGCCAAATGATGCTTCATGAACCATCTGCTGTATTTTTGTCCCCACTAGATGGCGATCTTGGCTTGCTTTGGGGCATGCTTTGGGCTGTTTTTTTTTTAACAGAGAGCACCATCAAGTGGGGTTAAATATACAGCAAATGGTCATCACTACTGTGCAGATTGGCTGGTGGGATGCCGACCTGACTGGTGACCCCTTATGCCCTTCACAGGAAGGCACCTCCAAGTTTGCCAGCCTGGACAGCTGTGTGAAGGAGCATCAGAAACGTAGCCAGAAGCGACTGCAGCTGCAAAAGGACACAGTAAGTGAAGGGACTGACACACACACACACACACACACACACACACACAGCGAGCATTACACTGAGCCAGAACCCAATTTATCAGCAACGTGAATATTTAATTGATAGCATGAAAAATGTATCTATTTGTCAATGGCCTCTGCATGGTTTAATGTCCGATCAATGAATGGAAATGACTCTGGCAAATCTACAGTATAAATGTTACACAGCTTCCTCATACACCTCAAAGCCACACTGATAGGAAACTGACTCTGAATAGCATCATGTGATACAGGAATGGGGGGATTCATTTAGGCATTGGAGTGGAGACGGGTGCAGAAGAGTTTAAAGAAATGGCGGGAAGGGAAGGACACGAAAGACGGCCATTTTAGCACCAGCGCAAGAGAAACGAAGGAAAACGGATGGGGCTGCAGTGCCGAGGGAGAGAGGGGATTGGGGTCTGTGTGTTTTCTGGAGTGAGAGTGAAAGGAGATGGTGGTCTTATATGACTGGTGGTAAATCAAAGTCAATGAATGGACAGGTCACATGACTAGTCACATGATATTGCAGGGTGCCACACAAGGAACAATCCCATACCTCGGCACATTCCTCACAGACCTGACCATGCTGGACACTGCCCTTCCAGACCTGCTGGAGGTAAGGCCCTTCAGTGTATGTCTACTGAGTTAGATTCAGTATCAGTGTGTTCAGTCCCATGCTGTGCCAGTGTTCAGCATGCAGGGAACCCCTGGCGCCAAAATCAGGGTTTCTTGACCCAGTCCTCAGGGATGCCCTGCCAGTCCATGTTTCTGCTCCCTCCCAGCTACCGTGTTCAGAAACACTGGCCTAACTGACCTGTTGTGTGTCTTTTCAGGGAGGCCTGATAAACTTCGACAAGAGACGCAGGGTGAGTATCAGTAAACCCTGGACCTTATATGTCAGTAACTCCACACCAAAGCCCAGGTCTAATGCTCTGTGCCACAGGCCTGTATGAGTTACACCAGGGCTGGAGTTGTCATGTGATGCACTTGGATGCTGGAAAGAAATGACAATATACCACCACCACCACCCCCCC